GTCTAGTCCATTTATAAAAACTTCAAATATTCTCATAAACATCATTTGATGAATATTTTTTTGTAAAATAACAGAATTAATGGGAAAAAATTAAAATTTCAATGCCGGTCCTAATTAAATTTCCATGACTGTACATGCCGAAAAAAGCGAAAATCCGATAGATGTTCTAGATAAAAAAAGCATTGTTACTCATACATGTTTTTTTTTGTTCACTCCCCTATTTAAATGAATGTAGACATAAAATCCCGAAATGCTACGTATTCACTTGGTTTGGCTTGTGTAAATAAATGAATATCTGAGTGCGGGGTAACAAAGTGGCGAAAAGAAAAGATACAAATCAAATTATTATGTATCGGTCAGTAAATATGTAAAAAAAAGACAGAGAGCTATGTGTCTCCCGTATATACCACGATCAGCAATACATTTGTAGTTAATTACTTTAGATCAGGTGCCGTTTCGAACGACAAAACTCGCAAACGGCTGTTATGCATGTGCACGATAGGACAAGACATGAATGAAGTCAAAGCCAAAATGTGGCCCAATCGTATGTATTAGAAGAGTGAAAAGAATGAAAGGGCAGAACGACAACAACAGCAACAATAACAAAACACAAAAATACCGGAGAAAAGGAGTTAAGGAATTCAGCAATTGAACAACAAAAACAAAATGTCCTTCTATCTATTTGATAGCAAATACCGCCATCGGGTAAATTGTTCACCAATTTTCCGATGAATTCAATCTATCGAGAGTTTTGTTTATCCTTTTTTTTCTCCCCTAAAATATATCCACATAATTTGTTTTGTGTCGCTCGTTCGTTCGCTCCCTCTTTCCAAGCGTCGCTTTTTTCGTCTCTAAAAATATGTACAGCAGCAGAATCAGCAACAACAACAGGTGTGCGATACACGCGCATGGTACAAATTCGAATCGAAAAGCTAAGAAATTAACAAGATGTGTGTACTGGTGCCAGATACACACGATGTATCAAAGTTTTCCAAAGTCCTTTCAACATATTATGAGTTGTACATTGCGATCAATGCACTCGTGCTCAAAATATTGGGACCGCAGGACATTGTGCCTGCAATAATCGAAGAGTTGAACCCAAACTTTTTTTTGTTCACACTTCAGATTAACTAATGAAAGTGCTAAAAATTGTAATAATGCGATGTTTTATCACATCAATTATTTATCCCTTTTTTCCATTTGGATCAACAGTATTTGAAATTGCTTTTCGAGAGAGAGAGAGAGAGAGAGAGAGAGAGAGAGCGATAGGATGGGAGGGGACGAAAAAGAGAAGCATTTCATTTTATATCGAATAAAACAGAAGCAAACAAATTTCGGGAAGAGATCCGAAAACATAACAGCGAAGCAGTTTAAATGACATTTCTACTTCGTTCAACCAATTGAAAGTAAATCGAATCGCTATCCATTAGTTCGTATTGATTGGCAGCTTCAGATATATATTCTCAATGCGATAGGTTCACAACAACACGAAGCACCGCACGAAGTGCTTACAGTGTGTATTTATATACTATGCGATGGAAATCGACACAAAGCAATAAGCATTATTCACGAATAAAAGCTGCAGTTCAAGCACGAAAATAAAGACGAACACAAGTTCCGTACATCAGCAACAGCAGCATCAGTACCAAGCCAATTTTAGAACTCTCTTCAGTAAAATCTAATTCAATCAGTTCATTCCAATACCACCGACATGTATTTTCATTTACTCTCTCTCTCTCTCTCTCTCTCTCTCTCTCTCTCTCTCTCTCTCTTTCTCTCTCGTTTTTGCCAATGAGAAATGGTTGTTTATTTTTTTCTGTTGTTGGATGACGGGGTGATATTCAGGCATTTTCATCATCATGTGGAGAACGAAAATCGACAACAATTCGACGATAGTTTTATCCGTTCATCTAGTAGCTCAATTTCTCTCTAGTAGATTTGTGTGTAGTAGTTAGACAACAACAACAAAAATCACGAATGAATTTCCGTACAATTTAGGTTACAAAACATTTAACAAATATGTATTTCTTTCTTTTCTCTCCCATTTTTTTTGTGAACAAAAAAAAACCGTTTTTCCGACGCGATTGGATTTGCAATTTTACGATGTAAAAAAATAAATAACAAAAAAACCACACATACCCACATACGAAATCTATTGAATCTATGTTCGTTCGGCCACACAACCACAAACAAATCTTGTTTGAAATGTACAAAAAAAAACATTGAATGTTCATGTTCGGATTATGTTTTTATTGTATGCAGTGTTAGTCTATCGAGTCTTGATAGTGAAGAGCAGGAATCGTTACGAGCTGAACGGCTACACAATCGGAGCAGTCGAAATAGTACCGGTGGCATATCAACACATTCACTGAATGAAGCCGAATTAGCAGTATGCATTATTAACTTTCTATCATTTATTGCTTTCATCTTCTCCTTTTTTATGATTGATGACATGAAAAAAAAGCACAAAATTTTTATTTTGCTGTCAGCAAGCACACAACACGGCCTTCTTCTAACGTTCATTCTATTTTTTTTTTTTTTTTGTTTCTTCGTTTCGCCCATCTATTGTGACAATCTTTTTTATTCCGTGTTTTGCTGTTCTAAATTATGCAATTGATATTGAATAATCCAATTTGGATGAAGAACGTGTGACATTTTGAAGAGAGTCGATGATGTATATTCTTCCGTAATCATTGTCCAATCGAACGGAAACGTACTGTTTTTGTTTTCGTGGGCAATATTCTACGTTATATATATTTTTTTCTTTTCGGATTGAATTTTATACTTCAAGCGTTCTATTTCGTTTGTCTTCAATCATTGTGTGCCACCTTTTACGCCATCTTATATGTTATTATTTTCTTTATCTCTCCCACTTATTTTTAATTCATTTTTCTCTCTCGCTCGTGTCACGAACGACAAAAATGACAACACATGAAATAATACAAAAAAAAAAACCATGATAAAACGAATCCCACAGCGTGATTTTGAACGTTTGAATTTGAAGCGAAATCTTGTGCCACAAATACCATGCAATCGAATGCCATTGCAAAAAAGTATATCGACACCATCGATAGCGCCGGCTCGCAATCAAAGCGCTAAAGAAGAGAATACCGTGCCAACGTAAGTGTGATGATAGATTTTTCCCAGTAGATAAATGTATACAAATTGCCAATAGATTTCTCTCTGTCTGTTTCACTCGTAGCCTATAGTTTTGTATGCACCATGAGTGCAATAAGCGATTTATGGAGGTTTTTTTTTCACACTCACTCTCTGCACTCGTGAATGCATTAACTGCTCACTTTTTGTCCATCTCTATATTGTGCTAATCACGTTGCCTGTTGAATAAGGCCAAAAGGAAAACATATTAGAACGGAAAAAACAGAAGCAGAAGTGAGAAAACCTCTTCTTTCCTCTGTCTGCGATTTTTTTTCACTTATCGCTCACCCTTGTTTTTTAACGCTTCTTTCTTTCAAACGATTCTTTCTTTTAAACGATTCTTTTTATTTTGTGATTTTCATGGTGAATCTTATTTATTGTTCACAATCGTGGTATGCCCTAATCAATCATTATCCCCACCCATTTTGAAAAGCACCATGAAAATGATGGACAGTATGGATCACATCCGTTGTTTATCGATTTTTTTTTATGTGCTATGCTCAACACTTAGATGACGTTCATTATCTTGTTTCACCGTTTTTTCTGCTATTTTAAACTTAAACTTCATGAAATTATGCTCGTTTTTTTCTTCTCTTGAATACGTTTTTATTCGCTTTGAATTTTGAGAAGCTGTTTTTTGCTGTGCGATTAAGATAAAGAGAGGCTCTTTATTGTCTGGGCGATTTATGAATTCCCAATGAGTTCACGATCGAAAATTGATGGATTATTTCGTTTTGCTCTTTTTTTCATTGATTTTTGCGCATGCTTTCGCCTAATTAATTTTTAACCCATTTTCTACCAAGGAATTTTTTTTTCGAATTTTTTGATGAAATTTTAATGAGATACTTCTGAGAGCGCAAATATGATTTTCCCAAAGTTTTAGAATTTTCCGATACATTATAAATTTTCACAATTTTCCGGCATTTTCCGGAAAACTGCAAGTTGGAAAACCTTGAAAATCTAGGAAAACCCTTTTCAAACCTTTTTCAACACACATGTAAAACGGCATTTGAAAATTCCAAGCCGTTTGATCAGGATAAAAGAAAATCTAAAAGAAGTCATAAAAAATCGGCAATTTTTGCGTCCTATAAATAGGACGCTGGTAGAAAATGGGTTAACACGTGCTTTCTAATAAACATTCATACAAAAACTAACCGAAAATATGACACATGTTTTGTGTATAGATAATTAATTAATTTTGTACATATGATTATGGCAAACGTGAAATAGTTACACAGTTGATATTTTTGACACACTTATTCACACCCGGTAACAAGGTTAGAGCGGAAAGCTGTCAAAGCAATTGTATAATTGTTGGCTTTTTATTCAAAAATTGCTGCACAAATTTTCAAGAAAAAAAAATGAGAAAAACACGGCGAGATTTTTTCATTGATTTTCGAACTTACCACACACACAAACACGCTCATTTTGCACCCCATTCACCCTTAGCCTTTTTTGCACATGACAATTTTTTTTTAAATATAGAGATTTTATAATAGTTTGTATAGTGTAGAAAATTTGCATATATAAATGTGTTTTTCTTTCTTGCTCGTTTTATTTACAAATATTTTTTTTTCTTTTTATTTTCGCAACAATGTGTTTTTTTCTCTATGATTTGCTTGAAAATTCAACTGCAAAAACCCGATAATCATAACCAAAACAAAAATCACATGAAACAAACAAACCCGCACATCACACCAACACGTTTTGGACAAATCCACCGATCACATCACATTTTTTTTACACGAACACAAAAAAACAAACACTCACACATACGAAAAACCGATAAAAAAACATACACCAAAAACAAATGAACCAGATCCCGACACCTCTCGGACAGTGAAGATGACAATCTTCAAGATGACCGTTCACTGCTCTGTGTACGCGATAAAATGTAAGTACACCTCTCCAACCACACCGTTCCGTTCAACAACAAGAACAACAACAGCAAAGTCACAACCACCAAACTTCATCACTCACTGCGTGTGTGTGGGTGATTCCATTTGGGGTTTCAAAAAACGTTGTTTTTGAAGGAAAAAAAAAATCGTAATCAATTTTTGCATGAGAACTTGCTTTCAATTTTTCATTCATTTTAATTCAATGAAAGAGGAAAGAAAAGATTGCTTTTATCTTGTTATGCATGCACCATAAACGGCTATACTGTTGATGCTCTACATTTATTACCAAACACTTTTTTCTTGTACATTTTTAAATACTTCTATTTTGGTGTTGCTTTCGTTGAATATATCAATGTATTTTTAGTAGTTGATATTTTTTTTGTATTTGAAATATTCTAAATTGAACTTGAATCTATTAGTTTTTCGGTAGCATCCCAAAAAGTGGTTTTAATGTCACAGAAAAAATGAAACAGAGACAAAATCTTACATCAGTTAGGGTGAATAAGTATTACTCCAAACCGCTTTTTTTTCTCAATTTGTTCATGTCAGTAATGGTATTTTCCCAAAAAAAAAAAACTATTGTCAAACGTTTCAAATCATTTTGTTTTTCAGTTGTTTTATACGCATGTACTTACTCAATCTTATTTGAGATAACAATTTCAAGAATTTGTTGATAGAAAGGAACCATTAGTTCCAAACTCAGTGTTTCTGTCGCTGAACTCTTCTATTAAGCAAAGTGGTTTTTCTACTTTTGATTCTTTTGTTGAAAAAAAAAAAAACAATAAACTGGGTAGAATGCCATGAAAGTACTTGACAAAGTCCATTAGTTTAAATATGAATAAGAAAATATAGAGGAATAACTTAGAAACGAACATTAAAAAAAAGTGTACGATGTTGATGCTGCAACTAGCAATGAGATTGACTCTCCGGTCTAGCTGTAACATGATTTTAATTTTTTTTTCTTTTTTCTTCGTATATTTTTCGTTGTCTCTCCTCGGAACACTTATAAAGTGAGGTGTATGCTGATCATCCGCAAAAGCCAACGAAACGGCCATCGCTATTCTTCCGCAAGAAGAAGAGTAGCAAATCAAAAAGTAAGGGGCAATCAACAAATTGTGACGGTAAGTGTTGTTGTGTGTTTCTTTTATTCTGCCCGCATTTGCGCAGCTATCTCTCTCTCTCATATGGTGTCGATAATCATGTGCCATATTTGTGTCCATTGCAGGCTGTGGTGCTGTAATTAATTTAGCCACTTATAAGGACCACGCGTCGGAATGCAAAGCCAAATTGACTAAGGTACCTGTATGAATTTAGTTTTCAATGGATTGTTTACGCTTTACCTTCCTGTGTGTTATGTGATGCAGAGCGACGAGTGAGAGCGGGGAAATTAAATTGACGACAAGACTGTATCAAACACGCATAAAATAAAAGCCCTTCGTCTCTATCGCCTCGTGTATTTCCTGTGCATTGTTAATAATGTTAACTTTTTGTCTGTTATTTTTGTTTACACGTTATTTCACCTCATCATCGAAAACATCGAAATGAAAAACTTTTCTCTTGCTATCTCGGATGGACTTTTATTTGATGAATTGCCCATCGCCATCGATCGATACAGAGCCAACAGAATAGCAAAAGCTCCAGCAAAAAAACCTCAAATAGCAGGTAGTTACAATTTTTTATATACACACGCAAATCTGAAATATTCTCTGACTTTATCCATTTGGTTGGTATTTTTCTTGTTCATTTATTTTTCGTTTTTAATTTCATTCCAAACGTTTTTCAACGCTCTCTCTCTCTCTCTCACCCTGTCTTTCTTGCTGTCTCTAGTTTGGTTTCGTATTTTCATATTTTCGTTTATTCGAAAAATAGTTTTTTTCGGTTTAGTTTCCTTTTGTTCGCTCAATATTTCATATGAACATAGTTTTAAAACTTTTCGGACCATATATCCACAACTTCACACTCGGTAATTTCGTATAAATAAAAGCCATTACGTGTCTTGCATCTGTTTTTTTTTCTATCTGTGATGGTATTATGGTTTACAGTAGACCAAGTATAAAATACCAAAATATGAAATGAACTGAAATATGCATAACATAGCATAGTATGTGGATAACGTTTGACCACATGGAACAAATTGAAAGGCATTAAACATTCAAACATATACTCTGGAAATATCTTTCGAAAGCTAGACGATAGTCGGTTTCAAAAATTCCGGATAATCGAAATAAAATCACACAAAATGCCTCATCCATTCGACTTACCGAATAAAAATGAATGAAAAAAACCGGAATCCATTGGAAAAAATTTTTCCTTTTATTTTGGTTTTGTTTTTAGTTTCACTTTAAAGCATTTCGTCAGCACCGCATTTATTTTTGTTCTTTGCGATAAACGATATTCTGTAAAATAATAATGTTCCATTCCATCACGTTTGAATAATTATGATAAAAAAATTTTGTTTTGTCAATGGAAGTACATAAATTTTGTTCGTTTTTTTTTTATTTGTTGCTAAAAAAAGCATTACAGAAATGCAATTTAGCACAAAAAGATAAGGAGAGAACAAAAAAAACAGTTTAAAATAAACGATGAGTAAAATTGTTGAAACAAATAAAAAATACCATACTGTTTTGTTGCTAGATCAAAATGAGTTTTATCGATACAATAATAAAAAATCATATATAGCACCTAGAACAAAAAATTATACGATTTTTTTTTTTCTCGATCGCACACTCACACACACACATACACATACACATTCATATCCTCATGTTGAAGTCTTGCTCGCAAATGTATTCAATTAAACGGAAATGAAGGAAAAGAAGAAAAAAAAATCTCAGTAAACTGTGAATAACGTAGGCTTTGTGCATATTGTTGCCACCGCCGTTGCAATGAAAGAGCATTTCGTTATCTATCATTTTTTTTTCTATATGCAAATTTATGTGGTGCTTAGTAGAGGCACCATTTCGGCTTGGCTGCTCGTTCATTTTTTACTTTATTTATTGCTTTGGCACTTTAATGCTCAAGACAAGTGCTGTTTTTTGCTCAGGATAAATTTTCGAAATTTTCCCAATGGGAGCAAAAGGATTTTTGGTCGGTATGGCTCGCTAGGCCACACCAAACTAGGCCATTTGCCACCATTTATCCATGGATCCATAGCCCCCATAGGTAGGAAAAATTGGAACTCTTCAGAGCAAAAAACAGCACTTGTCTTGAGCATAAGTGAAATTTGGTGACCTCATCTTCGATTGTACAGTGTATATAAAAAAGGGAATGAAACAATTCGGTTTTTCCATTTGATTGTGGGAACGGCGAGCTGAATCTTTCGAAAGTGGAAGTGCGATGAGGGCATCAAATTTCCCATATAAATCTGCAGACATGAATAAATACACCAATTGCAAGTTTTTTTTTGTCCATCATCGGTTTGGATTTAGTCCAGGCCAAACTAACAATCGAAATATATTGTAAGTCCTTAATGGTAAAGAGCATTTTAGGCGACGCTTATTTTAACGAATGTTCAAGCAAAACCGATTGCTTTCTCCCTTCTTTTGATTTGATCCGTTTTATTTTTGCTTAATTTTTATTTTATGATTGAAAAAAAATTTCATATCTTCCCGGCCCACCCAACTCTGGAATTATCAATCACCCTTCTCTTCTCTTTCTCTCTCTCTCTCTCTCTCTGTTCAACAATATGGTTATGATTGTTAATTTAATTTAATTTGTTATCGCTTCGTTTTTCAAACTGTTTGCTAGTTGAAAAATTTAAATTTATGCAAATTTTTTCACAATTTTTTTTCTCAACTTTTCTTTCGATATAATATTTGAAAAAAATTTACCAATTAACACAACAAAAAAAAAACAGAAAATTCAATTCAAAATTTAAACAACAAAAATATTGTCTTTCTTTTTTTGCATTTTACACTTTTCTTTTTGTGTGTGTCAAAATCAATGTTGTTTTTTCAACAAACAAAATTTACCCATGAACCACCAACGACAAATTTAAACCAAAAACAAATTTATCTGACAATTCTGACATCGACAATAATGTGGCGTGCAAAAAATCGTGCAATTCCTTTCCGATTGCATATTATCAAAATTTGAACGAAAAAAAAAAAAAAAAAAAAAACTAACACAACCCCATTCGAACACTTGTTACGTTACAAACATCAAAAATGAAATAAAAAGCGGCAAGAAAATGACTGGATGCTACTCTCCGTGGAGATTGGTTGCTAACAAATTAGGTGTGGTCTCACATCATGCTAGGTAACACTCTTCCCAAATAACCAACTAACCAAAAAAAAAAACACAATCTTTAAAAAAAAACCAACAGTGACAACAATAGCTAAGAATTCATCATTTTTGGCAAAAGAATTCACCCTTCTTCTTTTTCACGTATATCTATCTCATGTGTAATCATCGCTCTACTACAGATACAGGACATATATTTCAAACATATTCTAACTGTATTGCTACACACAAACATACACACACTTTTTCCTCTTCTGCTCTATCCTTTTCTACTACTTTTTTCCGTTTCTGTTTCCGTTTTCGAAGCATCTCTGTTCAAGATTTCATTTTCATCTGAACCCCTCTCTCTCTCTCTCTATCTATCTATCTTCTCTCTATTTTTTTCTTGCTCACACATTACATGAAGAGTGTTTTAACAGAGGCCAATTCAATGTAAAACTCTTTTTTTAGACGTTGCTCTTTTTCTTTTTCTGTTTTTCAATTTTTCTTGGATTGGACGTGAAAGCGTCATCCTTAACCTGCTAAATGCGTCAATGAATTTCGAAAAGAAAAAACAACAACAAACAAACACAGAGACGACATGAACATTCAGTCCAGTTTCAGTGATGTTCATAAGGCATTCATTTGAAACTGACACAAATTCATTGATTGGTTTAGCGACGGAAACTAGAAAATGGCCCCATTTCCGTACTTCTTTTCTCCCTTTCATTTGGGCTTTCGTAATTCATCGTTTGCCTGGTTTTTGTTTCCGTTTTCTAATTTACATGAGAATCTCTAACTTCTATTCATAACATTCCTATACATTTAATTACTGTTTACATGTAAGTCTATTTATTTGATTTCTTGGTTGCCATATCTCATGAGATTCGCAATCTCAGCGAAATTCTTCCGTTTTTTATTCTTGCTTCTCTTATCTTCTCTGTCACCTAAAACACAACAAACAAAAAACTACTTCTCATTTCTACTTCTACTAATTTCAATATTAAAATAAAAACCACGACTACACTACTTGATTTACTATGTGGATCTGAGTTTGACTATTTTCCATAAGAATCTCTCTGTCGTAAAAAAAAAGCCAAAAATTATAGCCTCGGTTTTTTTAGTCGACTAAATCTTATATACGTTGCGTTTTTGCAATCATAAATGTGTATTAATTGGAACTATTAGTAATTAATCTTGTATTTACGGTCGTATGGGTATATATATATATAAAGTTGTGTGTTGTAAATTCGTTATTCACTAAAACCAAACCAACCAAACCAACAAACAAAAACTAAAATGTCAACACTCTCTCTCCCTCTCTCTCCCTCTCTCTCCAGACACTCCACAAATACGTTTGCCGTACATTTTCTATACTTATGTTATTTTCAGTGATTTTTATGCTCTTTCACCATGTATTTTCTACTCCACCTCGGATTTACCCATCATCTTCCATTCCGAAATGTAAAACTAGTACAATGAAGAAAATCAAGAAAAACATTCATGTTTTGTTTTTGCAGTTGAATATTAACCATTTGCTTTATGGTCGAGTATTACCCATTTATGTTGTTGGTTTTTTCATCCACACTCGCTGTACCTGTCCGTTTTTTTCTTCTTCATGTTCGTCTATCGTTGCGATTTTTTTTGTTCGTAATTCGTATTTTGCATCATAGCTTCTGTGAAATTGAGCCAAAGGTATATCATTGTTTTAGCATTGAATCTACAATGGATTTCACCACAGGGCGATCGCAATGTGAGATAGATATTTGATCTGTCTTTTTCTCTTGCTCAGTTTCCCAGCATTTCGCACTCTCTCTTTCTGTTGCTCTCTCACTCGCTCTCTTCCTCTCAGTTATTTTGTATTCTATCATTTACATATCGAGTTGAGAATCGTCTGCATGAATTATTTGCTGCTTTTATGCTTTTGTGTGAGTTTTCATAAATGAAACCTCCCAATTCCCGTTGCTCAAATTGCTGTATTTCAAAACTTCCCGATACCTCTTGAAATTGACGAGAGAGAGAGAGAGAGATAGAGAGAGGGGGAGAGAAGAGAAAATAAAAAAAAATGCTATAAAAACCATCCTTGTTCAAGCCAACGTTGAGCTTTATTTTTTTTATTCAACAGTGACACTGTAATAGGTCAACGAGAAATCAATTGTGTGTGCCATTTGAAATATTTATTGAATGTAGCTTTTTATCCCGTAGCTCTCTAGGTATGCGTTGGTTCTTTTTTGCCCCGTCTCTTTCATTTTGTTCTTCTGCACAATGCTGCACAATTTGGCTTCACTCTTCGATTTGTATTGTTGACAATTGAGTACACAATTTTTGTTGTTGTTGGATGCACTATTTTCAATGCAACATTTTAGTTTCGACAAAACTGATTAGAAACATGCGGTAATATTGAAGTAATGAATTTTTCATCAAGACGAATTCATTTAATGATTCGGTCTTGTATGCGTTATCATTTGGAAATGGTCCATTGGAAATGGTTTCAAAGCGAAATCGACCGGCTCGAATAACTGAATTTATTTCGTCATGAAGGCAACGAATTGCTCGGAGAAATTTTAAGATGATTAAATTTTACATCAACCATATGTATTCACAATAATAGTAATAATTTTCCTACCGAAACACCGAATTGAATTGAATCGGATATAATGGAGAGAGGGTATTCAATCCTGAGATTATAGTCAAACATACATTTGGGCAATAGTTTTGTTGATCTGTTGAGGTAATGAAATGCGTATTTCTTAAGCCCGTGCAGACAATGCTACTGCACATCTGATCCCGAGCCATCGTTTCTCACACACACCAACACACAAACACCATCTCTTCCACCGAATATTGCTTGTTAAGTGAAACAATTGAATCGTTTGTCCGTTAAATTAATACCAGATTCTATTGTGAGTGGTCGATTCGAAATTAAATGACATTCGATTGGCAGCCAGTATAGTCACATAATGACAATGTAACGGATATATTACCGCATGCCATATTTCTTCTCAGCACACACACACATACACACACACACACACTCACACGATGGCTCTAAATATTGGCTTCAATCCCAATATGCTAAACAGCTCCCTTTCTATATATAAGTAAATCAGCAACCATTTCCTATGTAATGTTTGATGCACACAAATGATGTAGCTTGAATTTTGCATGTTTTGATTGGTCATCCTAATTGGAATGTTTTGTAAGACGAAAGAAACAAAATCGATATGGATAAAAATATGGCTCGCTGGTTTGATTGAAGAATCGTTGGACAAACTATTCGTATTTAGAGAATTTAAATAGTTTTTATCTTTTCAAACCTAATTCGAACGCTATTCAATCAAACCGCGTGCAATGTCCATAAGATAAGTACTGTGTTTATCAATTTTTCTACAAATTATACATAAAAAAGAACAACAAATTTTTTTAACACTTTACATTTTATTCAAATTCTAAGTTGATTATATTTTATTGTTTTTGTTTGTTTTTGAAACGTTTTTTTTTTCATATGCTTGCGCAAAATCAAAAAAATCGCACAATACACGATTAAAATCCAAAACAAAATCAAATTCATAGTCATCACAATTCGCAAATTGATGACCAAGGCCGTGATTATTATGATGGACATTCGCACAATAATGATCATGCAAAGTAAGTAACAAAAAAAACAACAAATTTTCTTTTTGCTTTCGTTAAATATTTTTCCTGTTAATTTTTTTTCTGCCATCCTATTTTTTTTTACTCTCAATCTAATCGTTTCTTTAAAACCAAAATAAACTCGAAAAGCATGTCCATAGAGATCTCTACAAAAAAAGACAAAATTTAAAAAGAAAAACAAATTACACGAAATATTTCAAGGCATCTTCGATTTTAGAGCATTTTTTTCCCATTTAGATGTTAGATTCCTCGTCATCATTTGTTTTGTTATCGATGGCTGCACACACTGCAACCGCATTTCCGATAAACTAGAGGCTCGCGGACATGCGAGTTTGTACCCAACAAAATGTTTATAACTGATTCCGTTTGATTAGCTTCGCGTCTGTGCATTTCATAAAGAAAGAATAAAATGAACCGAATCTTTACAACGAACCAATGTCCCGTCCCCGAAATGCACTTGATGCCTAACCCATTTTGAGATTTATTCTTCATATAAAATAAAAATTTGTCTAAAATTGCACACTCTTTCTGTTCTGATTTGAATCATTTTGTGAATGTAGCTATTCCGATGAGTCACCGTTAATTCCGAATGAGTTTTTGCACGAGCCACACATCACAGCTCAGGATTTGGGTGGTGAACCAATTTTGGGGCTTATGAATGAAAATGAAAGTGATCTATGGATTCAATATGTTCCTTCGCAAGTTAAGCGAGCAATAAAGGAAAAACAAGTGAGTTTCATACCGTTCATGTTGTAACACTACGACAACTTTGAAAAGTTGCATTTTTCTGCAAATCAAGTGGAAGCTATCATTGGAAATAATGTAAATGAAAATGAATTGATCTCAACCGAATCTAATCACTTTCTATGTTTTCCTCTCGAAAATGTAGCAAGTGGAACGGCAAGAGTGTATCTACGAGTTTATAATGACGGAAAAGCAACACTGCCAAAATTTATTATTGATCCAAAAAGTGTTTGTCGAAAGTCTGGAACGGCATTTCAATTTGTTGAACAGAGACCGCCTTTTTCCACGTTTAACCGATTTAACGGAACTTCATACCGGGTGAGTGCCGTTGCAGATTCCATCACAAATAATCATTACCATCATGCGATCCCATTTTAATTGCAATTTTTTTTTCCTTCATTTTTTTCCGCTTTTCTAAATCCACCGGTAGATTTCTAAAGAAGTTACGAAATAAACAAAGGGAAAACTATGTTGTTGATAGCATAGCCGATATAATGGTTGATTTCTTTTCGAATCAATCGGAGAAGCTGATCAGCGCATACGGTAAATTGAAATTTATTCTGTTTAAATCGTCGATCTGTCGCAAAAACAATACTAATTCTGTATCATTTCATCAGGCGAATACTGTTCGAATCATAATACCGCATTGAATACAATCAAAAACTTTCAAACGGGTGATCAACGATTCTCCGAATGGTATAAATATAAAGAGTCGAATCCGTTGCTCAAACGGAAAGGTTTAAATGGGTTCACGTTGTCGGTGTCGCACCGTTTAACCAAATATCCCATTTTGATTGATGCTCAAATCAAGAAAATCGGCAGCGATGACGTTGAACGGGGCAAATTGGAGGAGGCCAAGCGGCTGATCAAAGAGATTTTAGACGATGTAAATGCATGCGTTGCTGAACGAATGAAAGAGGATCGACGATTGGACATTTTCAAACGAATCGATGCCAAATCAACGATCATGTTCAAAAATAATAAATTCCGCAAGTCTGATATCGTGGACGCGAGCCGCAAATTGAAGTAAGCCATGAACAGAAAAAAAAAACGATTTTCGATATTTTGAACGAAGAAAAAACCAATTTAATCCCTGGAGCAAATCATTTTTGATGTTTTAATTCAAAAAAATTTGAATTGTTTAATTTAACTTAATTTAATTCGAATGTTCCGTAGGTTCGAAGGGTTGGCAACATTGGTAACGCCACGTATCAAATCACTGGAAACACCAGTTACGGTCGTTGTTCTAACCGATTGTTTGCTCTTTTTGCAAGAGCAAAATCAGAAGTATACATTTTTTGCACCCGACACCAAGGCCGGCGTTGTGTCGCTGCAAAAGTTGTTGATTCGGGAAAAGGCGGGCGAGTCAAGAAGCATTTACATCATATCAACTGATATCAATTATCCGGAAATGTACGAATTGAAAGTACAACAACCAAAAGACAAAACCGAATGGATCAAAACGATTCGGTAAGAAGTCGATTCGGCACTCAGTTGGCTAAAATGCACACACAAAATTGATAATGCTCAAATGACTATGCATTTTTTCGTAACAGAGCGGCCGTTCAGGAGTGCCCATTTGAGGAATCCGAACCGGATGACCATTCACGTGCTGAACAAAGGCAAAAGAATTTGGATGCAAAACACGCAAATATTAGGGAACTCATCGGTAAGCATATTCATTCATTCAAAATTCCGACAAACTACTCAAACACAATGGCAGCTCAAGTGTCTTGAAGCTTTAGTGTATACAATGCTCTGAATCACTACGCTTATTATTGTCTCTCTGACACACAAACACATACACACACACATACAAACATGCCTAAACCAATTCCAATGCTATGTCAAATTATGAATCCACATTCATAACACAAATTGAAATCATTTTGACTATATGTGACAAATTATTGACGAACCAACTTTTAAATTTGTACTTTTATTCACGCAAAAAAAAAATTCTATTTAAAAGCGTTGGAAGGCAGTCCGCTGCAAGGTAAGTTAGACATGATTGGTATACTGCATGAAATTGAATGTGGTTTGTTCATTTCATTTCTGACGTCTTTATTTCAAATTTTATTTATAAAAAAAAACTTACAAAAATCTAAACGACTATGTGTAAAATATGATTTTGACGGTTAATGAAGGAAAATGTTTATATTAAACCATGAAAAGAAACCACTAAAACTAGGTGATCATTATGATTACTTCATAATTCTAAGTGTGTTTTGGTACTGTGTACAACGATATTGTATGGTGGTGGCGGCGTTTCGCTTCGTTCATTACTACCAAATATGTCACTCTCCGAGGCACATGCACGAATGGCACTTAATCGATTTTCAGCTGCATTTTGATGATTCTCATTGGATACGTTCAGCGAATGAGTGCTGCCACAATTTCGATGCACTGTATCACCATCATCGGACATCAATTCATCTTGTGTCACTTCCAAACTGATCACTTCATTTAGGCCATCGCACATTGGTTCGGCTTCGGGCTCAATAGTTGTGCGTGTTGATGCCTGGCGACGATATCGACGATTCGATTGATTGCGTTGGGCAGCATTTTGTGCTCGTGTTGAATTCAAAAAAAGACGACTCTGGCTCAATCGACGCACCAAATTTGTAGCGCTTCGATTGATTTGACGATAGTAACGACGGCGCACGGGACGCTCATAGAAAATGGCAAAGAAGGAGGTGGATGTTTGTCGTGGTAATTGCCGATATGATGCCTCATCGGGCATCTCATTTCGTCGAACGACTGAAGTTGTTCGTTCACTTGACAACGCCGAATTATTATTCACAACTATTTGGTCATTGTGGTCCTCCGATTGGCGACTACGGTTTCCTATTGAAATTGAAAACAATATCCAAACACATGTACTTACACTCGATACTGATTAAATTACCTACGACTAGGGCGCACACTTTACTCACTTCTTTTTCGCCGCACTCGGTGTTCGGTGGTGTCTGTGCTCGACATCGTTACACAATCCGAGATCAATTTCATCGTAAATAGCATGATAGCACCGAATATTGTGCCAATAAATAGGCCACCATAGAATGCCACTTGAACCGTAACAAAATCATACCACGTGTGATGAAAACGTACCGGATCGTAGCGCAGCATGTTATTGTCACTTTTCCGTTGTAATTTCACTTCAACCTCTTCAACGAGCATCGTTAAATTTGACACGCATATTTCAAATAATTGACACGCATGCTTGGCCGTGGTTTCATTTGCACTGCACCGCTCATTCAATATCGGTATATTATGGTCATTGTGATTGTGTGTATTCCAAACTCGATTCAAATCGATTGGCGTTGTATTGGTTGCTGCTGCTGCTGCTGCTACTGCGTGAGATGACACTGCGGTTCTATTGTTTGGCGACAACATTTGCATTCGCTCAAATTTCAAAGGTGAACGGTCCTTTGTTTCGCTTTCGGCTGCAAATGAAATGTTGTTTCAAAATCATTTTTTTCTTTGTTTGGGGTGGAAAATGGATTATTTTTTTTTAAATAAAGTTCTCGAGGCCATCAACTTACGGCAATTATCAATGGAAACTTGGACATGATTTCGATTCATCCAAATGATCGACATATTCGTTTGTTCGTCACATTTCATTCGATTTGCTTTCATATTCACCGTTCGAAGATGATTGTTCGTTGCGAATGCCGCCAAATTTAGCAGAATCAATAAATTTTCCGACAAATCAATGTACTTGATATTTGGTAATTCACCAAAATAGTTGACGTGTAAATGCGTTAATTGGGATTTGTGCAAGTCCAATATCTGGTGGTCGGATGCGTTCGAAACAGAGAGCAATTATTATGATTGATTGGACAATTTAAAGATATTTTTTTTGGTGGCGTCTCACAAAACAAACGCAATATATATATACAGTGCCGTGCAAAAGTTTGAGTACGACTATAAAATCCATATTTCAATGTCTTTTTGTCCCATTCAACCCAAATAAGGGTTTTAATCTGATAGCCTATTGAAATTCAGACTGAATGAAACATTTTGAGGACAACATTTGGCCGGCCTTTGGCCATTTTTGGCCATTAATAAATGGCGGCCAAAAATGAGTTTTTTAACGGGCCAACGGATCAAAAAGTAATGTACATCACTGGAAAGGTCTTGAAAAATAGATTTCATTTTTGGCCTCAAACATCAAAATCGGCCGGCATTTGACCAAGATATGGCCGTTGGAAAATGGTAAAATTAAACGGCCAATTTTTTCAAACGGCCATATCTTGGCCAAATGGCCAACAATTTGAATGTTTTACACCAGAATTCACATGCACTCCTCAAGACCTTTCCAACAACATATAACATGGCCAAGAAACGGCCGTTTGAAAAAATTGGCCGTTTCATTTTACCATTTTCCAACGGCCATATCTTGGCCAAATGCCGGCCGATTTTGATGTTTGAGGCCAAAAATGAAATCAATTTTTCAAGACCTTTCCAGTGATGTACATTACTTTTTGATCCGTTGGCCCGTTAAAAAACTCATTTTTGGCCGCCATTTATTAATGGCCAAAAATGGCCAAAGGCCGGCCAAATGTTGTCCTCAAAATGTTTCATTCAATCTGAATTTCAATAGGCTATCAGATTAAAACCCTTATTTGGGTTGAATGGGACAAAAAGACATTGAAATATGGATTTTATAGTCGTACTCAAACTTTTGCACGGCACTGTATATATACATGGTTATGTCGTATCAAACCTCTAATGATGCACTTCGGATAATTGGTACATTTGGTAAATGCATGAATTTATTTCCCGATAAATCGATGCTAATCAGTTGTGTGTTTTGCTCGAAAATTCGATTATCGAACGATTCAAGGCGGTTGCACGTTAGGTTGACACGTTTTAATTTTGTCAATGACGCAAATGCATCTAATTCGATGGAACTAATGGAATTTCGAGTCAACACTAATGATTCTAAATGTCGCAAATCCTGAAAAGAAAAAAAAATCGAAACTAGAATCAAGAAAATATATTTTTGTGGATTTGAAATACAAATGCCAAAAGCATTTCGACATACCTTGAAACAGTCATTGTCAATTGTGGTGATATCATTATAACTCAAATCTAAAAATTCAACTGAAGACGCCATTCCGATATTGGCACTAATCAAATTCTGACCGCTTAAACGAATTAAATGGGATGAAAAGAAAATATCTGACATTTTACACATTCTAATGTTTTACAATTGCATTCATATTACCTGCAGTTAGCCATGTTAAGTTCTTCGTATCGGCCACAGGTGCACATTCGTGGACAACGTTGCAATGGTTCTTGAAATGCATCTGTCAATAATGTGTGCAGACACAATAGAATGATCAATAGTGTTACGACTAGCGACTGCATTTTTTAGAATAACTTTAAATCGAACACCTCAGTAAGATTTGCGACATTTGGATTTTATTATTTGATCGAAATTCAGAACAACAACAACAAAACGAGACGACAACGAAGACGACTACAACACTATCAAGTTCACTAGCGCAGTTAATTGGTCGAAGTTTACACGAATCATAATGCAATAATTGCGACTGACACCTAATACAGCTGTAAAAATATCAGCTATGGCACATAAGTCATCATCAGCACGATAGACTCATTCCAACTAGCACACTTATCTTATCCGCTATTCTTTTTTTATTGTTTGTACGTATGCGTTATCGCAGCGCTGGATGCCAGTGTACCCGTTCATTTTTATGTCACCCGCTTATCTTTCTTATTTTCTCTATCACTGTGTGAGTTTAACACGGTGCGACATTATTCATTGTTCGCCGGAGATCGACTCATCGCGAGCACACCTAGCGAAGCAAAACAAAACAAATGAAATGATATATTGAGTTTACACTGAGTGAAAAGTTAAATAGAATGAAGCAAACTCACACCCATGTCCTTAGCTCGGTTTTTCGTTTTTGTTTGTATTTTACATAGTTTGTGAACAGATAATTTTCCGTTATGCGTTCACACTGACTGTTCTTCTGTTATGTGTATAATGATTCTTGTTTTTGGCCGTCACTGTTGCTCAAAATGTAATGCATCTTGTTTTATCTCCACATAGAAAAAATGCGTATGAAGGACATTGAGCAAGCGCTTTTGCTGGAGGATAAGGTTCGACTACATGCAAATTATCTGCTGGAATCGGGCGCACGAAACATTTCCGAACCGGATTCAGCTGAAGCATTTTTGACCAATTGCGGATCGTACAAAGACCTCGTGACCGATAACTGTGATAATGTGGAAATTTGCCGACGAATATTTCACACCATACAAGAAACCAGCCAGTTGGCATCGAATTTGCACAAAGCGGCCACCGGCTACGAACTACCATCGCGTTCATTTAGTTCGGTCGGCGAACGGCACAGCGACCAATATCAGTCACCAAAGTTACCAACTCGTGCTGAAACGTAAGTGAACTCAATTGCGGTCTGTGTAAAAACGGAAAAGCAAACGGAGAATGCGATTCTAATGTAAACATCCGCCTTTTGTTGTTGTTCTTTTTTTTGGTTTTCCTAAATAGATTCGGTGGTTTTGATGAACGTCGTCAGAAGCAGCAGCAACAACAGTTACACCATCTACATCACTATCATCCACCAGCACCACCACAACCAGCAGCATCGGCAAATCAACAGCCATCAACAAATCAAGCAGCAGCATCGGCGGCACCACCGGAAAACTGGCATGATGCTATTATTTCTACCATAAATAACACGACAATAAGTTTACACAATCAGGAAAAACGAGACTCATGTTCATGGGGTGAGACTGACACATCAATTACATCGTCGAATTCAACTGCCACACGTAGCGTCAATGCAAACGCCAACAATAGCAACAGGTAGTTACCATTTTTTTTCTATCTTCTTTCGTTCGCTGTTGTTGTGCGGTGCACAAATGATGCCAAACTCTAATATGAAATGGTGCTTCCTTATTGATTCCGTTTTTCTTTTCTGGTTTTCGTTGTGCAGTTCGATGCACAAGGATATCAACTATGAGGCTCTGCAGGCGTCACATAATCTATATGGACTATTGGCCATAATCAACCAACAGATGACCACAATTGCCAGCCTAAATTCACAGTTGAATGCACACCGTGAAAATCCGAAGTCAATGTATCGACACAATGATCAATTGGAGGAGTTGCGTAACTTACAGGATCGTTTACAAGATGAGAAAACGGAATGGTTGAAGCGTCGCGAACAGGAGGAACGCGATTTGGCCGATCAAAAAAGTGAACTGGAATCGTTGAAGACAAAATTACGGGCCGAACAAATTGATATCGGGCAACAGCGTGATGAATTACACAAGAAAATGCAAATCCTATCGAACCAGGGCATATTGTCATCGTCGAATGTGGCATTGTCACCCACCTCAATCGTATGTAGCAGCAGTGATGATGCTGGCCATCAGTCACCGCACGCCAATATTGGAGCGAGCTGTAGCAATTTAACGGTCGACGATCACACCGATATGGGTGGATCGAATAGCCTGAGCGCCGAACATCGGCGCAAGGACAAATGGAGATCAGCTAGCAGTAAGTTCATTTTTGTCATTTATTTCAATCTCTCATACACACACACACACACACTCACATTTTATTCTATTTAAATTTGTAATAACTAATGTAATAGCCAAGTCACTTGAAATCTCTAACATTATCTCTCTGTGCCTCATTTAAATTTCTCGCTTCCTCTGTCCATTTTCTCTATTTCCCCATTTTCTAATATTGAATTTACTTCAACCACGAAATCACATACAAATTCAATGATGGGCGAAATTCAAATCATAGTTCAATATTGGACTATAGCGTCCAAACTCTCGAGCTTAAAACGCTCTGTGACTTTCATTTCCACCCACACCCTTCCGCCAAGAGAACCATTTTTCATTCAAACCATCTCTCATTCGAATATCTACCTCACTGTCCATGATGGAATATCAATTTTACCATTTACAAATAATAACACTCACTCACTCACTCATAAAACAATACAAAAAAATTCTAAACATTTTAGCAAACAGCAATCAATCAAGTTCCATATTCTTTTTTTCTCTGTTTGTCTATTCACCCAAAATAGATTTACGATCGTCTGTTGTGAGACGAATTTCGTTCAAAATAAAGAAACCGAAAGACTAAATGCAAAACTAAGCAAACAAACAAAAATACCCACCAATTTCGAATTAAGACGCAAACATTAGAGCACACAAAGAAATAAAACCGTAACGAACAATTTGGAGCTATGATTGAACAAAATAATTGAACTTAAAACAAAAGAAAATCTAATTCAAAATACCAACAAAAAAAAAGAAAACAAAAAATCAGTTGCATTGCTCAAATGCATTCTATTCAAGAGGTAAAATATCTAAAATCTAACCAATTCCAAATTTGAACAATTTTTTTTTCCTTTCAATTACTGTTTGGATTTGAATCACAATCCATTTTTAACCGTTTTGTTTGTTTCTGTTCAATCTCCTGAAAAAAAAGCCACTTGTCAAACTCGGAGTAAATCTTAAGCTGTTTGTTTTCTTGTTTTTTTCCCTTCACTTTTCGCTTTTTGTTAGTTTTTATGCGTATTTTCTTTCAATGTGACATGAATTAATTCCATTTTTCTCCCCTGGTGTTTTCACAAACAACAATAACAAAAACCTGCATCGATTTTTCCACCACATTGGATTCTGTTATGATTTATTCAAAACAAATGTGTTGTTCAATGGCAATTTATGACTGTTTTGCACATATAGATAGAATGAAGCATTTCTCATCATAATCCAAATGAAATCAGTGTTGTTTTCTCTATAGAAGCACCGCTTTCAGCACACTATTACAAAAATCATAGACACACAATAATTTCCGCACGATTTTAACAATGACCAGGAAAAAAAGCAATACGAAAAAGAATTGGCGTCGAAATCTCAAATTGGTTTTCCTCTCGTTGTTTTGTCTCCAAAATTGATTGACAACGCACATTGGACGTTGTTATTTCCATTCATTCTTAGAATATGTTCATTGTTTTTTACTGCTTTTTTTGGTTCTTCGGTTTGTTTGATTAGCAAATGCCTTTCATTATTCACATGCATTTTGGTTTTCCTGCTGTGTGTTTGCCAATTAGTGTTACTATTTTACTTTTCGGTCTTCAATTTAAGACACACAAAAAAAACAGTTTGAAGAACAATGATTTCTGTTTGAGGTGTTAAAAAGATTTAAATTTAAATCGTTTGGTTTTTTTATCGTTTGGATTTGAATTGAAACCTTATTTCTGGTTTTTCACCGAGAGAAAGGAATACAATGCTTGGTTATTCTTTCGAATCGCATGTTTTACGTACCATTTTCAGCAATAAACGTTTATTTTTCTTTTCAATTGTCGAAAATATCAAAAAAATTAACTCTTTTTTTCTATAAATTTCTCAACGAAAATGTGCATCGTTAGTATCGAAGACGCCTCCAGTACACTTGCACAGCGCAACCAACGCATCCAAAGTCAACCAGTCACATATGAAACAACAGCTGCCCATGAAATTGTCATCAAACTCAAGGTAATATTTTGACAAAATGTGCCAATTTTACAGCACAATTTTTTTTTTGCTCCCCCTTTTTTTTAAACACATATTCACCCTCACATATTATGATTTATATGCCATCACCTTTATCCATTTCACACTATTTTACCCGTTTCACACCTGGTTTTTTTTTTTCATTTGGTTTTCCTTTTTTTGTTTTTTCTTCGTTTTCTTCATTTTATTTTCTTTAGCACAAAATCTGAAAAATCCGTATCAACTAATTCACTTGCATCACCTCCCAACAGCAGCTCTAACGGAGCTGGATGTATGGTTACACAACTCTTACCACTAAAATTAGCCGATAAAAAAGTAAGTCGAACAGTTTAGCTAATATGAACTGTGCTCAAATCGCAAATGGTTTTCACTATTCGGCAATAGTTTTCTTTTTTGTTTTTTTTTTTCTTTTGGAAATTTCTTGGTTGTAACAGAAATATCTATTCAATAATAAATCGATTGAATATAAATCGCATCGAGACATTTTATTGAATGAGAAAATTATCGTAATATCACTTGTAAATGAATTGCACTTGTTTGACTATATCTTTTCAAATTGGCAATTGAATTGAACACACCATAAAACATTGTAATTCCGTAGAAAGAATCAATTGAAAGCGAGTAATTATTGATACGACTTATGATCATATTACAGCAAGGCCAAGTGATAACACCAAATCATTCAAGAACCGGCAGTAGCCCAGCCGTTATACAACAGTTTAATATGACACCATCTGGAAATCCAGCAACACGGTAAGTTTATTTAGGTGGTGATAGGGGAAAAGGATTCGGTATACCAAATGATTTATGTCTACATTTCATGAATTAATTGATTTCTTCTCTCTTTTTTCCTCTATATTTGATATCATTGAATGTAAATATCAAAAAAATGACCTTCAATAGAACAAATACTTATCCCAAATTACCCGATCGTTATCGTCTTCGGAGCTCCGATGGTTATGAACCGAAACCCAATCACACAGCAGAGCATGAGCAACAGTCGATTTACAAACGCATCGGTCAATCGTATCACACATCGCCAGCATCTTCAACCGCATCATTATCACCAAACTCAACAACAGCATCTCAACAAATTCAACGCAATGTCAACGATACACCAACATCATCCATTGGCAACAACTACGCGCGGCATAAACCACAGGAAACTGCCAACTCCAGCAAAAATACACAAGTAAGTCTTGAAATAATGTCAGAAAAAACCTGTTCCAGCCAAATGGATTTTGTTCAAGTAAAGTATTTTAGAATAGATTTTTTTTTGATAATTTTTCTTTTCTTTCAAACAATCAATCAAGGTCAATTTTTCATTCGTTTGTCTTTTGTTTCAGGACTTTCGTTCTTCGGTGCAAAATCCAAAGGAAGAGGAGATTTATTTTTGACCCCAGCTTGAGGTGCAAATTTAAGGCGGCAACAAATCGAGAAACGTTAATATAATAACAAGACAGTGAAACACGCAAAATACATATTCCAGAATAGTTAGTAGTGCTCTCAAAAAGAAAAAAGAATAAAAATAAACTAAATAAATAAATACTTAGCAGAATAGTCACTTTAGGATTATGAACAGTTTATAATGAAAGCCTCGTGACTGATGACACCAGTCACACACTAAGTATTTATTATTTCCTTTCCACTGAACTGTATTCATGGTGGTCATACGACACGAACAGCAACAAAAATTACTACAAGCAGAAAGAAATTAAACTATTTAGATAATACAAAATGAAATTATTTATTTTCTCTACCGTGTTTTCGTTATCGTGATTTTTGTTACAAAATATTCTCAAATCAAAGTTGAAATTCTTTTTGTAGTACCGAGCCGATAGAAATACATGAAAAACAGACAAAAAAACTGTGCGGCGACTTCAAATTGTTTCTAAGTGCTCAATATTATAGATGACAAAAAAAAAACAAATAATACGAACATCAATTGAACTAATCAATTCTGATGTGATGACCTGTTGAAGTTTTATGTTATATGTTTAAAGCCAGATAAAAAAAAATTAAAAATAAAATAAATTAAAATGACACGCGGAATTGGAATTTATCTGTGAAAACGCAACTAGCAATTACTAGAATATAAATCTGTGTATCAAATTTAGTACTTAACATTTCAATCTATCAAAATAAAAACTGAAAAAAAAGAATAAAAACAAGCAACAAAAACACACACAATATTTGAAACAAAGTTTGCCTTCTTCAAGTTATGTATTAACACAACATAATGAATGAAACTGTCTATTAATTATTATAAAATAATACTGTTGTACCTAAAAACACACACACACACACACACAAATTTCTATTTCTAAAAGGTAACTGTGAATGTGAGCGAATGTAGAAGCAAAAATTGTTGATCCGAACGTGGTAGAGAATCTATGAAATATGTTTTACGTGCATTTCATCTAAGTCAAATGAGGATGTATCGAAAAAGATGGAAATTACCGACGAAATGTGCATTTATTGTAATGTAATAAATGATCGGAGTAAATATTTCCTCCAAACCAACAAAACACACGCAAAAACTAAAAGCACAGCTCGGAACGACTTTTTCGACACATTCCGATGAAATGAACACAATAAAAAAAAACATAATTATTCGTATTTTTCGAAATCTCTATGTAACAATTGTCTTCTTTCTCTATCTCTTTCTCTTTCTCTTTCTCTCTGGTTGATGTTCAATTGTTCAGTTTTTGAAATGCCGATATATTTGTATATTTTTATTCGGTGAAATGATGACTATTTATGGATTCGGAAAAAGAAAATTCGCACAATTTTTGCAAACACCGAAAAAAATACACTCTAAATAGATACAATTATTTGTTTCTATCACAACTTTTAACTGTGTGTCGATTGCAACACTATACGTATCAACTGATGGTTAAGAAGAGAATAGAAACCTTTTAAAAAATAATGAAAGAGAAAAAAAAGAAGAAAATTGACGCTGATCGACCATTTCGCGGAACTAGTTACTGTTTTTTACATATGTAAGCAATTTCCAAGCAAATAAAATTAAAATCAGACCTGAACGTGTTATCAGAGGACTTGATTCCTACAGTATACGTTCTGATAGATTCTTTCTAGTTGAAACAAGCACACACAAAAAAGAACTAATGAGAATTTAAATAAGAGAAAATCACTTAAACACACACATAAAAAAAGTCCAAAGAATTACGATACCAAACCAAAAGAAAGTAGTAAGCTACTTGGCTATTGGCTCGCATTTCAGTTTTATAACAAATCTCCTTGATTTTACACGCGATTTCGTTCTATTCTATCTGTTTGGTGTTTTATCGTTTCGATTATAATTTTTATTATATTTTTTTGATCACTTATCGCTTGAAATACATCATTTTTGATTTTGAGCCCTCGCCTAGAGGGCGGCGTGTCGTTTGTCTTCATTTATTAAGCGATTTTGGATGAACAGACACAACAGCAGTGCTTATGTTTTTGTTTCATTGATTCAAATTTTCGGTTTGATTCACTTAAATGATCCCATTCGAGTAAATTTAACCATTTCTTTTCACACTTATGCATATTTACACTTTATGTTTATATTATAATTTCGAATCGAAAAAGATATGGATGAACAACATTCTTCCAACAAAAAAATTGTTTCGTTCAAACTTCTCTTTTGTACTGGTTAGCGCACTTTAAAAAAAAAAACGTGGACTTTCTCTCTGGACAATATTTTTTCAAGATTTAAACGACTTATAAAATGAATTAGAATATATATATATATACATGAAACATTGTAAAATAAATGTAGCAAACTGTTCTAGTTTCATAGCATATATACGAGAAGAAAAAAAAACCAAAACAGAAATATGCAGCAATTGAACGATTAACCGCTCGATTAAAAACGTGTGAATTGAGTTGAGACATTGCTCTGGCAAGGGGTTAAAATAAAAGGGACCTAGCGTAACTAAAAACTTGGTCGCAATGTACTACTACAACACACAGCTACGGTACTCGAAATTAGATTTGGTGCATTTTGCTCAAAAGAGAGGTATCATTGGCGCGATCCACGAATTTTGTGAAAAAGCAATATCATACGAAGCAATCATACTTGGGCTATGGCCAAAAAGAAGAAACAGAGAAAAGAAGGCCAACTGGACAAATTTGTCATAAAAACTACGCCACTTGGATTCGTAAATAAGCAAACTTGTTGATATACAAAAAGCTTTCGGGGCAGATTATGTCTCCAAATTCATTCATATTAACGTCAGAATAACGTTTTTATCGTGGTACCGTGGATAGTAAACACTCGTCCGATCAGATGTGTATTCGAATATTTCCCTCTTCTTTTATGGTCTATTTCGGAAATATTATTTCAATCATTGTTATAGAGTAAAATTTTAGTGTACACACCCAGTTCGTTTTCGTGAAATTGAATGATTTATAAATCTACGGAATTATATTCAATCAAAGATAAACAACAGAAAGAAGCAAAAAGAATGTGAAAATGATCTTCAGTCTTTTATTGTTGACAACAAACAATTTGTCATTTTCGCTAAACAGAAGTTCAAAGAATAGCATTTAGGATGTAAGTGAAAACGATTCATACATATACCAGATGAAGATATGTATAAAACTGTTGCAATGAGGTGAATCTATTTATGCGTGATTGTTTTCTATCGTATGTAGTTCACGACCGAGAAGTATCTCAACAAACTTTGATATGCATAGAAATCCATTATTTCAAATCAGTTTCATTAATTTGACCGAACTGATTTTTTCTAATCGTATATTATTTCCGACACATCATTTCTAGTAATCACTAACCAGTAAGGCAATTTAGCCTAGGCAATTCTTTATCCTTTTTTATGATTCTCATGTTAAATTAGGGTAGAAATTATTTTCAGGCATGATCTAGGCTATTGTTTATCACATCGCGGCTCTTTATCTCTTTATCTAGGCTCCAACCACTTGCTGTAACTTTATCATTGATTATTCATATGGTTACGTGCTGTGTTGAACCGAATTCGTAAAGAAAATGAATGTCAACCAAATTTCTCTAAAAGAAAACTAAATCGTCAAAATAAAATAAACAGTTGAACGTGTAAATAGAACTGAAAAGAAATATACAAAATGTGTTTCGAAATTTAAATTGTGCGTTTGAAAAACTAATTATACATTTTCCAATAAATTCTATAGGCAAATCAGGTTTTAATAGTCAATCAAGAAATGTAGCATAAGACAACATTTGCATGACTTCAGAGAGAATAAAAACGATGCGGTTGACGAAGAATTCTGCAAAAAGGCAACAATATGGTAGGTCGCAAGGTCATAATGGAAATTAGAAAATATAATTTCTCATACACTGTTACACTGAATTGTTTCTGTACGAATTGCTGTTAGCGGTAGATGTTTTTCGAAGTAAACTCGGTTTGGGTGTTCTTAAGTTTTTTTGTTTCTAAAGTTAGAGTTCTCTTGTCAAAGATAGACAAAATCACAGATCATCTTGAAAAACAGGGGTGGAAAAAATATGGTGCAATCCTCAATCCAAATTTAAGTGCTAACATCTTTAACAATCTACAATTAAAATCATCTACAATTTAAACCATTATCTATAGCTTATAAGCTCAGTAGAATTTGATGTTCGAAATGTTGATTTTTAAAAATATAATCGTTCGAAAAGGAGTTCCATGTCAAAACAAAATTTTTTCGAAAAGAATTTTGAATTTCGAAAATAAACTTTTCGGAAAATGAATTCTAAATCGGATTATGAATTTTTTTGAAAATAAATTCGAACTTCGAAATAACTTAATTTACGAAATTCAAGAATATATGAAGAATATATTTGGAATTCCAATATTGGGCTCCAGACGGTTGCTGCAAGAGCAATATACCACAGGCGATCCTTGTGGCACCGATTGTAATCTGCTAAAAATACATTTTAACTCATAGGATATTACTATCGGTGCCATAAGGTGTCGCTAGTGGTATATGCTCTTGCAGCAACGATGTGTTGGGCTAAATTTCGAAAATCCAGGTTATCAGGTCCGAGAGATCATAGACTTACACCACCTGGCCAAATACGAAAATTTTAGCATAAATATTAAGAGCGAAAAAATACCGCTAAAGTGTGTTCTGTTTATATTGTAAGGAAATCACTTACGCGTATCAGCGCCAAAGCTATCGTTATATTTATATTCACTCAAAATTGGGCACAAATAATAGCGCCATTTGTTCTGAAAACGACAAAGCAGTCGTGTATGTTGTTCTACATAAATTTCACTACATTCAAACTTTTCTTCATTGCTTACGGTTGACTTTGTTCTATAGTTCTTAACTATCAATTTATGAATTTACGATTTTAAAGGAGATGAAGATGAATAAGCGATTATCGACGCGTTCAAAGCAAACGATCGGCAAGACATCACGATACACGAAACATGGATTGATTCCACCAAATCGCCCAAACAATCGAAGTATACACAGGCCAACCTATCAGCTAAAGCCGACCGTATCAATCGATGTTGATCACATTCAGCTCATCATTAAAAATATTGTACTGAGAAAAATTGTGCATTTCATGCCTAACTACGAACCGACCGAAGCAAAGGAGCTGGCAAAAAATGTTTGTGATGAGATAAAATGTCGTGTCGAAGATTTGAATTACGATCGCATGCGAACCATTGTTATTGCGAATGTAACGGAAAGGGCAAACCAAGGGATAAACTGGCAAGTTGGCGCTTTATTTCAATCATCTACCGATCAATATACGTCATTTCAACATGAAACCGCCTCATACATGGTTAACGTATTCGTTGCATTGGTTTATCGAGAGTGATCGCAACCAGGATTCATTTCTATCATTATATAAATGCATTTGAGCCATTGTTGTATTTTGAAAATTTTCTTTTCACCAAAAATGATTCACACTTACCTCGAATTACATTCGATTCCAATGACATTTTTGTTTCGTATTTTTTTTTTTTGTCTCTTGCTAATGTTTTCTAAGTTTATTTCAAATACATATTATATTATTTAACTCGAAAATTTCGAAAATAAAAACAAAACCACGCAAAACCGATTATAACGATTTATTATCAAATAAACCAAATATTAATTTGCATCCGACAAATTATGTTGAACACATTTCATTCTTTTTATTTTATTTACATTTTGAATATTTTTCTACCTAAGCTGAGAATATGAGCCTTATATTTAGGATGTGAATGAATTTTGAATTTGGTGTTTCGCACAGATGTGTTTCGCCCGTGATTACTCGTCGGCTTCAATTAATTTTGGCTGCAGTTCCACTAGTTTAGCATCCATTTCTTCCATTACTTTGGCACGCCGCTTCGATAGATCGTTGAAATAGTTTCGTCGTTGCTCAACTTCCAAGATCATTTTCTGCAACAAATGTAAATCAAGCGAATGTTTTCAAATTATTCATTCATATTGAATATGGAAATGATTAATAAAGTTGAAGTACAAGAAATGGAGAAAGTGTGAAACTCATTGAATGAGAAATTCAAGTTGTAATTGATTCGGAACAATCGGAAGAACCAATGATTATTACCTGCAACTCATTCGACTGTTCACTGAGAAGTTCTCGCATTTTTAGTAAATGTACCGACATCTGACGATTGCGACTGTGCTGGGTCTGTTGTTCGGCCGTGTGCCCATGTGCACGCCTGCGAACACAAAATCATTACCAGTTGTTATTTGTTGGTTTTGCTTTTTCCACTTCAAGAGATTTTTTTTTTTTGGATTAAATTTGCTCAATTTGTCGATTTGATTGGATTCAATGGACGATTTTATTTTTGTTACCAACCATGCTTTTTCATTGGGCCCCTTTGGTTTGTGTTGTTGCTTCAGTTCATTCAATGTCGTCAGCCGTTGTTCCAACTGCTTTGTTTCCCACAGTGTATCGAATTCTTCGTGCCATTTCTTCATCATATCCGCCTTAAATTTGTCTTCAAATTGCTTTAGTTTGAGTGTTTTATTCGTTTGTTTTATAATATCATTCAAACTGGTCACCAATTTGTCGCTAAAGAAATGCCATTTTCAAATCGAAACAAATATATCGTTATGTTTGTGAAATAAATGTCACACATTCGCACAAAAAAAAAAATTTATTCCAAAATGTATTTACCTCATTTGATTAACGAACGGTGTGCAAATTTCATTGAATTTCGATTTGATTTGTTGAATATTTTTCGGTTCGTTTTCCATGTTCATCGTACAAAATAAAAACACGCCGAAAATACCAGATTTGCAAAGAACAAAAAAAATTTACGTTATTCAGCCCGAAAATTGGTTTGAAATGAAATGTCAAACTATAAGTTTGTCATGATATGTGACCCGATGCGATTATGTGTGTGTTTGTGTTGCCAACATAATGTTCAAAAAATGCATGACATGCAACACTAAGAAATTGAAACTGATGAAATAAAAATGGCGATAGAAATGCCAAGCGTGCGAGATAGAGAAGGTTTTAACTCTATTTTTGAGACTCTCTCTATCTAATCGTTGACGCCGTTCGTTCGTCGTTTTGCGATTGAAAAAAAAGGAGACGGCAACAACAAGACAAACCGAATGCGATCGGTTCGTGTGACCAAAGGAATTTTTTGTGTTTGGGTTCGTTGCCTTATTTGTTATTTGTTTGTTTGCTTCCTCATCTCTCGGGGACAACTGTTGTTTCATGCCGCATTTGATTACGTTTATATGTCGGTTGATTTGGTGAAATTGCCAAAAATGGAAACCCGTTTTCAGTTCAAATATGGCTTTATCGGTATACAGCACAAAAATGCTGTTACCGCTGTAAACATACAACGTGATGTGCCGGCTCGTTTTTTGTTTTGTTTTGTTTTCGTGTGTGTGTATCTATCGACTGACGAAAAAAAACACCATATCCATAACAGATTTACATACATGGTCGCTAAGAAAATCCAAATATGGTAAATGATACAAGTTTGTGTGTTCTTTTTGGAATATTCATTCAATTAAATCGCCAGACAGGTGATTCTGTGCGTGACGAGTGACGACCACGCCAAATCCAATTGAACCGTTTATCGCAATTTTCCCATATTTTTTGTACATATTGAGTGTTATTATCTAATGAGCCTTGCGCTTCGTATTCAGTCGATGCAATTAATAGTCAAATAAATTAATATATCGGAATTTCAAAGTGGCTTTGATCTCACGACAGAGTGAGAGAGAGAGAGAACCATGATTTCATTACAATAGCACACGACTTCAAAAGGTTACGCTGCTGAAGACCTCGTTATTGCGTTATATAAGAGGCCGTTTAGTTTAGTTGCATGTGGTTTGAGAATTGATTTTGATAAGTCGACAATAATTGCCATGGATAATTTATGGTGACCACCACCGCCACCATCGTCATCGTCCTCTCACACATTTGCCTCACTCTCTCTCTCTCTCTCTCTCTCTCTCTCTCTCTCTCTCTCTCTCTC